AGAGACATGACTAAGCCTTTATGACATGGAAGTAGCTGGTATACCTTGGCATGTGCTGGAACCTGCTGGAAGGATTGGATGGTCAGGTGACCTGCTGTGCATGGCTGTGCATGACCTCATATGACCTCATCCTTGGTCATATGACCTGATCACCTGACTAGGCTGAGTAAGCAAGATGTTCTAGCAGGTTCCACCACAGAGGTATAAATATAAGGCCTACTCTGCCTGGGGACTGTCTCTTCAGACTTGGTCTCTTAGGATCATCCACAGGTACCTATACTGTAGATAGGTCTTAGTCATCAGGTCTACTCCACTTCCTTGTTGCCTGCTTAGACTCTTGGCACTCTTAGGTGAGCAGATTTAGTCAGCCTGTGTTGCCCTAACAGAAACCATTCCTTCCAGGTTAGCCATGCATCCGGTAAAATTGGCAACCTGTGGGTTGCTCTCTGTTTTCACATCAACAGGTACTGGTGCTGGTGATGCATCCTGCAAATAATCGGGGGACAGTGGCTGAACCTTTGTTGTAGTGTTGCCCAGAGCCCATTCTGCTGTCTCCTTTAATTTGGCCATTGTCCAAGGTTTGTCCACAGCCCTGTCATATTTCCGTTTGAGCCTGTTCAACATCTTGTCCCAAAGGCAGCTTTTGGTGGGCAGGAATTTGAGTATGCAGAGGAGGGACTTCTGTTGGTCAAGGACAGAAATCCGGTTGTGCTTGATGAGCCATGTGGAAATTGAGTAGAAGTCCCTGTAAAATTCAGCAAATTCACCCTTGGTCTTAATGCAGCATTGTCACTTGTGAACAAGGTTGTCAAGGTCCCAAGTTGCATACTGGTGTTTGTTATTTCCTGCACCAGGGTAGTCCTTCAGTGTTTTGGTCTTGAAATCCTCATACAAGTTCTTGTCCACATCATCCATGCCATCATGAATCTGTGCCCATAATTCATAGGTGTTGTTATCAGTGTAAAAGCAGGCCCAGTCAATCTTGTCTCCTCCACCAGTGACGGCAGGTTTGCACAAGCTGAATAGTTTCTCCAGGGCTGCAAAATAATGGGTGATGCTGAGGGGTGTAGGGGGAAAGCAGGGGGCTGAGGGAGACTCCCTGCCCATGGGCATTGTGCATTTGCTCACCATGAGGAGTTGATGGACTACATCCACTATATCAGTATTGCTCCTTGTGGAAGCAGTCAATGATACCTCTGTGTCATCCAAAATTGTGGGTGTCTGTCAGAGTGTGGTATGTCAGGCTTGCCATTTGTCCCTAAGCTCATTTTGTTGGTCTATAGCAGAGGCAGGGTGGTGGAGTACAGGATGCCAGTATTGAAAATCAGAGGAGGAGGAGTTCTTGCCTCAGCAGCTCTTAATCAGTAAAAGCTGCCTCACATTAGGCTCAAAATATGATCTGACTCAAAAGGTGTCCAATATATCAGGTGTCCAAATATGTTGGTCTGATGGGTGGTGTGTGAGAACTTGCTAGGGAAAGAGGGGAGAGAAGGGGAAAGTCAGTATAAATGGGGGAGTCAAGCCTGTAGCTGAGCTGCTGGAAGTTGGTTGGTAAATTGGAGCTCGGTGTCCATCTAGTCTAGTCACAATAAGTCAAGTTGAATCCACTAAGTTGAGTCAAATCTGCCTATCCAGCAAGGGGATAATTGGATCCATATAACGCTAATGGAAAAGGGGGCAGAATAAGCTAGATACAGGAGTTTCTAGGAACTACTTATACTAGCTACTATAAACCATACTCTATACTAAATTGGTATCCAGATACCTCTCCAAGGCAGGTGTTGGCATGCCAAATATCTGTGTGGGCCAATCCTGTTGCAGGGGAAACTTGTGGTTGTCATGCCAAATATCTGAGGGTCCTGTTGCCTGGGAAATCATAGCAGTTGCCAGGCCAAATATCAGGGGGGTCAAGACTTGTCGCCAGGGTGTGTTGTCCTGCATTGCAAGGGTCCATAGTGCTATGCAATGGTCTCTAAGGCCTGAAAATAGCTGTGAGAATATTGGCCTGACACACCCCACCAGAGGTGGGGTTGTTCACCAGCTAGCTGATCTGAGAGATCCATATCCACAGGAAGGCTTGTCTCACATGGGAACAATGGAAGGGTGGAATGCAAGCACTGGGGTGTGTGTGGGGGGGGGG